GACCCTCAGATTGCGAGTCGAGCGCCTTATCCACCTGGCCATGCCGGGCCCGATCCTGTCTTCAAGGCACGGCTTCATGCCAGTTGGCAGTCGATTTGGAGTGAGCAACGCCATAATAAGCTTTTCCAGATCAAACCTTCTGTTGATCTTTGGCCATCTTGCTTCTGTAAGGATCGGAAGTAGTTATGGCAAGGCTACGCATTAGTCATAGTTTTTTAACCCATCGTTTTTTTTTATCGGGTATTGACGCACCAATGTGTAGCCATTGTGACAATCAAGTCACAATAGCCCACATTTTACTGTCGTGCCGTCGTTACGACCGTGAGCGGCGGCATCATTTTAGACACATTTTATCTAAAAGTTTACCCCTGACCCTGGACAGTGTCATTGGTAATGGTGACACTGTCCGATTAGATTGTATTTTTAAGTTTTTACACACTATAGGTATTTTGATTCTGTATAAATCTTTTATCGACAGGTATTGGTTTTAACTCGCTGTATTTTTACATTTTACTTTAATTTACTTTCATTGTTTTTACCGGTTGTTTGGCGCAGATAGCCCTGCTGCTTTGGCCATAAAGCACCAACCATATTGTTGAGTCGAGCACATGAGGCGTTACTTGTGAATTATAGCGTTTGTTATAGTGTGACTGTGAAAATTAAGTGTATTGCATAGTTGTATTCAGAAAGAATAAACCGGTTTTATTTAAGAAAGGTCTTGTATCGCTAAAGTTTCTTCGGAAAGAAATTTTACGGAAAATTAACTAACGACCAGAGACGTAACAGTATGCATGAGCAGCAATATGTTTTTGACATGACAGTCTTGAGACAGATCCTTCTGCAGTAAAAACTATTTGCAGGACTATAGACTATAGTTAAGATGTATAGCCATCAGATAGAACATGACAGGACATGGTGACATATAATATGATCTATTCAACTGCTTTACTCATTGACCTGTATTCCAATCACTTGTTATGGTTAACATATTGATAACAGTTTGTTTTTCAACATAAATCTGCACCCATGTTGTTGTAAAATCAAAATAGCTTCATGAAGAACAAGAAAACATAAATTAATAAACTATGTTAGAGGATATCAACACCGGTATTTAATTTTCGTATTTAAAAAATACAGTAATTTGCATCCAGGTATAAAATGTAATGTTAACTGTTTTTGAAGATAAGCCCTTTGAACAGGTTTACAGAATTTTGGAAGCCTCATTTGAAGAACATTTGAAGCTTGATCTAAGATGTTTTGAAACATTATACCCTAGTTGTTTGATGATGTCCTGCTTATTAATTTAATTAAGTCATATATATATATATAATGCTTTTAATTATGTTAATCTCGAAACTATTTTTATATTAAAAAAGATAAGCAAACTTGGTGTTATCAAGTTTTTATATGAATAAGTTGCCTGTGGTTATGATTTCATAAAAGTTGAAGATATTAACATGTACTCATTAAATCTCCATATATGATACTGCTTATCAAAATAGTAAGGCCACTTCTTAATCAAACTGACTGAACTGTGAGTTTATTACCTTGGATAAGATATAATGTAACTTGTGTATGGCTATATATATATATATATAATATTTAAGATACTGGATAAAACATCAGTTCAAATAAAACTAAGAAGAAATAAAAACGGAACATATAATAATGGTAAATTTTTAAACATTGTACTCTTTCCATAATAGATTCCAAAAATAATTATGTCTATCTCTGGGTCAAAGGTAAAGATCATCACACAAAAATATTGCTTTTTCTTTATACATTCATAGATGTTAGATTGTTCTTACTTTAAGCTAGGGTAATCATATAATACAAATCAAAAATCAGTATTCAAGTCTCATTATTGAAGTTACTCATTTTTATATTGATAATTAAAAAATACATTTTTCCAGTAGTTCCACCAGGAGATCCAGTTATAGTTACCTTCTCAAATAACTCGGATACTAAATACTGTCCACCAGTGACTTCTCGTGGACTATTTTGGAACTGGACTCGCATAGGACATGTAGTAGAACAGAAGTGTCCAGATGGTGCATATGGTAAGCAAATAATTTTTGAATAGAGGAGAAAGCTTCTATTCAAAATAGAATATATTTTTGTTAGATAGAACCAGTTATTATTTCATAAGCTAGTTTTGCACTAAGCCCTTATTAGCTGATTAACTTTATTAATTTTATACTGAAAATTAAACTTTCATTGTGTTATATAACACAGATTTCCTTAATAAAAGTAAATTTCAAATGTACATTAATTCAGTATTTTCCTGAAAAAAAGATTTGTTACTGTTAAAACAAGATAATATATTACTCTACTTCAACTTCTGTTGTCAAATCAAGAATACTGTACTTGTTTGTTTGTAGTTAAACACAAAGCTACACAATAGGCTATTTGTGCTGTGCCCACCATAGTTATTGAAACCCAGTTTATAATGTATAAGCCTATAGATTTACTGCTGAGCCACAGGGGTGCCTGTACTTGTAAACAAACAAAAATATATACATATAGATAATTTATGTAAAGAAAAAATTTAATGTTTGTTTTTCTGTTATAGGAAAAGCTAGATGGACTTGCAGTAGCTCCACAAATTATTGGTACCCTAAAAAACCAAATTTTGGAAATTGTAGTTCACTGTGGTTTGGTAATTTTGTAGTTGAAAGGATGCATGGAGTAAGTGTGGTTAGTGATAGTTCTTAATTATTTGTAAATAAAACTAGTAAACATTTTATTTAAACTTGCATTATCAATTATTAAACATTTTATTTAAACTTGCATTATTAATTATTAACATTTTATTTAAACTTGCATTATTAATAATAAAAGTTTAAAGTGTAAATTTGTTGTCACTATTCAAAACAAATGTATAGATAAATGTGAAGAAACTATGTAATTTCTCATGGCAACATAACTTTGTAAAAAAAGTAAGTATATTGTTATAGAGCAGTATAAACTATTGTTGTTATGTTAGTATTCTTTGGTTATTATTATATGATGTAATTTTATGATATTAAATGATGCCAGAAGGTGTGGTTATATGATAACTTTTTTTTTAGAATTTATTGGTCTAGATTAGGTTCTTAGGCATATGAAATCAATACATAAAAGTATAATTGAATAATTCATGTTTTATAAATAAATATCATGAATAATATACTGTAACATCAAACTTATAATTAGATGCAATGAGTCATGATGAAAGTTTAAACAGGGTTTTTCTTTAAGGGTTGGAATTAGTTATTTTTATGGACTTCTCCTGCCTAAAGTTATTCATTCTACATGAGACAACATTTTGAGTCTTCTGGTGTCAGGGGAGATTTACTGTTTTTTTATATGGTACTGGGACTTCATTGTGGGTGAAGTTTACTTCAATCTGATTGATGTGTGATGCAGACCTCACAGAGGGTTCTTACTGATTTTGGTTGGGTGTGAGTTAATCCTGTTGTGTGTTGATAATTCAGAATGTGGTTCTAAATTTATATATTTCTGCTCCTTAAAGTTCCACCCATGATCAAGTCCAAAACTATCTATACAATACCAATAAGGTATACATAGAAAATAATAATAATTGAAAAACAAATAATCATTAAGTTTTCAAAATAAAAATCAAATATATCTTTAAAAGTAGAAACAGTATTTTGTGTAAATGTTCACTTTCATTATATAATAACCTATTATAATTTGGAATGCAAATGTTATAATAGAATCAAAAATGTACCATAACCACTTATGAAGTAATTTAAGTGTCACCTTTTAAATAATGCTATCAAAAAGATTTATTAACTATAATATTGACAATTATCAACTAAAATTAAACCCTTTTGTTATAACTTATTTCAGTTTTAGTATGCATATTGAAATATAACTAAACTACTTAGAATGTATTTAATTTCATAAATATTATATAATTAATTACTAATTTGTGGACCATTCTGATAAAGACTTTTCATTTAATATACACTCCCATTGTCTGTCAGTATGTATAAGAAATCCACAAGACAGAATAAATTAAGGTAGTTGAACATACATTCCAGATTAGTAAAGATGAATCAGTAATGAATGTGGCAGAAGACTTGGCTCGAAGGACTACAAAGAGGCGACTCTATGGTAAAGATATTATAGAAGCTATTTTTGTTATGAGAGATCTTGTCTCAGCCACCAAAAAGCAGTCTTATTACTATAATCAGAACCAGCAGAAAGAGTTGATGCAGGTTAGAAATTATCTTTATTTTTAAACTTATAGGGGACAAATGGTCTTTTTTGTGTAGGGTATTTAACTAATAAATATGTATAATTACAGTACTTAATCTATGTTATAGATCTGTCTTATTGTTTGTTTTATTATGATTCTACACCCTACACTAAGTATCTTCAAATCTTTGCTATTTTGTTTTGTTACGCTTATAATTGTTGACATTTCTAATAAAGACATAGAATTTTACTAATCATTTGATGTTATTTGATTATTCTAATCTGATTCTATAGTAAACATAATTAAATTTTGCTAATTTTTTATGTTATGTATTTAACTGTTGGATTTTTCACTTTTTGCATAGGTTATTTAATTGCAATTTTCCATTCAACTCTTTGTATTAAACATATTGTAATAGATGTATTTAAATAAGATTTGATACAGTATTCCCTCTTAGATATGACTGACTGCCATGATAAAAAGGTCACATCTGACAGGAAATCATTATTTGGAGGGGTTATATCCACCAGGGACTACTGTATTATGTAAAAACATTGAAAGCTGATGAAACAGTTGAATCAATAGGCCTAATATTCATGATAGAAAAAACATAACCATAACAGGGGACTGTTTGGTCCTTCAAAGCTGTTCTGCATACACCTCAATGAAAAAAATGTGAAAACCTAAAACTACTCTTTATTTTTTCTTAGGAAATTATTTATTCCCTTTTTAAACTTTTGTAAAGTGCCAACCTTTGATAATGCTAAAAGTAACTCATTCCATAAACCAGTTGCCCTGTTAAAAAAATAAAACACTTTAAGAGAAGCTTGTCTTTTCCAAACCTTACGTTTGTGTTCTGTCATCCTATTGAGAATATAGCACAAAGAAATCAGGAATCTTGATCTTATTCTTATAATAGATATTCTTATAAGCTTTAATAAGATCACCTATTACCCATCTTTTCCCAAGAGAATTTAAAGTAAAAGATTTTAACATATCTCAGAAGTTAACTCTTCCATCCCTAGAATCATTCTGGTAGCTTTCATTTGATCTCTTTCCAATAATATAATATCCTTTTATGCTAGACTGAAGATTATTTTCCACATTCTTCTTAATTAGTCCGTTTGTACTCCATATAAAATATATGTAATATTAAGGTTTTAAATCTAATCTGTGTCCATAAATCCACTGTCCAGGAAGTCTGTAGTAAAGGTAAAAAAATTTCAAATGTTGTTTTTACACTCTTCTTCTTCTTTGAAGGAATGTGTCAGAGATCATCTGTAGTGTGGTGTAATTTTCCTTGTGAGTGTTAGGCCTTAAGATTTTATGCAGTTTGTTAAAATAATGCTTGGAAATGGCTTAAATGGGTAGTGAAAGAAACTTTATTGCAAATGTACAATGTTTTGTCAAGCTTATGTCATCACTACTCATTGAAGCCATTTCCAAACTTACTTTTTTAATAGTGGGTTCCTCATTGTAAAATAGTGTGATAAAGTTTTCTTGTTGAAACATAATTTTTATTTTTCAAATTTTCTTCGTATCAAATATTCACTTGTAGTTATTATTTGAGTGTATAAAACATGTTTTTATAACCTTTTTTATATACAGTTATCCTTTGGTATTCATGGGGGATAAGTTCTAGAAATTGCCGCGAATGCTAAAACCACAAATAATACCATTACTAAAAGAGGATACATATAGGCTTCCAACATACAAAAATACAGTACATACAGTAACCACATTTTATAATAAAAAACAATGTACAGTAATACACACTAAAACAACAAGTAGAGAAATATAGTACAGTAATGTAAAATAAATGTATCTTAAACTAAAATCTTTTTACTTAACTTGCCTTTAATAAGTTTATCTAATAATTAAATTTTTTTATCTAAAGTTATCACTTTCTTTTTCCTTTTAGCTTTCAATACACTCACTGCACTTTCATTCATTTTACTTTTTTTTGCCATTTTTATGGGAATGGATAAACACAAAGGATGAAGAAAGACTAAGAACACATGGGATGCACAGTGCAGCATAATGCAAGCCTCACACTAGTTTTGGGGGTGGACTGTGGCTGTAACGCAAACACTCGAAACTACGAATGACAAAGGATAACTGTACTGATTATTTTACTATACAAATTCAATGTATACTGAATGACTTGTGACTGCTTTAATTGAGTTTTAAAAATTCTATTTAGTCTTTAGTGAAAGTCAGCAGCAATTTGTTAGACAGAAAACAAACAGAGTCTTGGGAAGACTTAACTCTCAGTGAAAGAAGGTTTTCAGCATCTACAATGCTAGAAAACTTAGAAGAGAATGCATTGTCCCTTGCAGAAACACAAAGAACTGGAGACTATTTTACACGTGCAGAAGAAAATGTTTGTGAGTTAACTGAAAAGTTCATATTTCTTTCTTTCTTCTTTTTTTAAATATACAATGAGGTATATTTTTAAGATTATTATTTGACTACATTCTGTAATCAAAAATATAACATTGCATATAAAAATATGATTCTAATAATGTTTTGGTAATTGTTTCTTAAAAATTGCATTCTAAATATAAAAGTAAATATAAAAATGACTTGTAATGAAGATATCTTATTTTATACATGTTATTTCAATGTGGATCTGTAGTATCAGTTTTTTATTATGATTCTAATTCTCCTCCCCCATTAAGAAAGACTAAGATAAAATGGGGCTTTAATTATAAAAAATACAATGATATAATTATTTCAGAAAACAAGAAAGAGCAAATGTTATTCAGTTTACAGAACATTTTCTGTGACTTTGTTAATAATTAAGATGTGTCATTTTTTTGGGGACAACTGTGGAAACTATTTGTTTCAAATTCAAATTAAACCACCTTATTGCAAAGTTCTGTAATATTTAGTTATTTGATTATCTTCTCGGGTGGATTAAATACTTTTGTTTTACTGAATGACATTTTAAGGTTTAAGTAACTGCTAAGAATAAGAAAGTTGGTTGATATCACAACACTTTTAACAAAGTTCAAAAGCCTATGTACAAAAATTATATGTAAATAATATTCTTTAAATGTATTAATAGATAACATTTGTGAGATTAAGAATTTCTGTTTTCATAAAATTTTCTGGAGTTGGTGACTGCTTAATAAACAAGGTGTGTGGTAAAAAGACTGGCTGCAGTTTACTGTTAGTCTGTTATATTTTGTTTCTTTGATTTTTAATGTTAAAGTAAGTCAACTAATTTTGTTTTTTTCAGTGGCTTCAGTGCAAGTTGTTAAAGCTCAACAAACTTCTTATATGGTATTTCCACAACCTAGGGACATTATGGGCACAACATGGGTGGGAATGGAAGATTCAGTTTACATTCCTGGTTCAGTAATTCAACACTATTCCAGGTTTTCTCGAGGTATGTTTCATTGTACATAAACTCAGAAGCAGTATATTTTACTGTATGTAAGCTAAGATGAGGTATGTTTTGCTGTACATAAACTCAGATGAGGTATGTTTTGCTGTACATAAGCTCAGATGAGGTATGTTTTGCTGTACATAAACTCAGATGAGGTATGTTTTGCTTTACATAAACTCAGATGAGGTATGTTTTGCTTTACATAAACTCAGATGAGGTATGTTTTGCTTTACATAAACTCAGATGAGGTATGTTTTGCTGTATGTAAACTCAGATGAGGTATGTTTTGCTGTACATAAACTCAGATGAGGTATGTTTTGCTCTACATAAACTCAGATGAGGTATGTTTTGCTGTATGTAAACTCAGATGAGGTATGTTTTGCTGTATGTAAACTCAGATGAGGTATGTTTTGCTGTATGTAAACTCAGATGAGGTATGTTTTGCTGTATAAGCTCAGATGAGATATGTGTTGCTGCTACATTGTTCATCAATACAATACTTCAAACTTCTTTTTTGAGGTGAGTCTTGGTATTATTGGATTTTAGATACAGTTTATTAGTTCAGCACTATTTCAGGTTCCCTCTACATACATTTTGGTACTGCTTGAGTTAGATTAAGTTCAATAATACAATACTATTTCGGGCTTTGTTGAAGTAAAGTTTGCTGTTATTAGATTTCAGCTTAAAGTACTATTCCAAATTATTTTGAAGTAAATTTTACCATTACTAGAGTCCAAGTGAATTTCAATATTTTACAGCATTATATCAAGCTCTGTTGACACAAGTTTTCTGTTACAAAATTGCAGTGATACAATATTATATAGTAATCAATTTAGTCACATAGAAAACAGTTTAGGTTTTATGTCAAAAATTAAAGCATTATGTGAAGATACGGGACATGACATTTGGTAGGTTATCAAAGCACCCCAAGAGGATAATTATACTTCTTTTTCAGGGGAAAAATGAAATATATGCAAAAATTTAACACCTTTCTCTATTCTTACTTATTTTCTTGCATTTTGATTTTGATCTGTACCACTTTTATGTACACAAAATGTAGACATGCCTACATAATGTCTTCTCTGAAAACAATTGTCTGTTTTTTTTAAATATTGTAATTATGGAAGTAAACAGACATAATAGTGTATAGATAAATTTTATATAACTCATTAAACATTACCAAAAGTAAATGTTCAAGTGATTATTCTGTTAAATGCTTTCTTCTTTATGGTCATTTGACTGAAAAGTAGATGAACTGACACAATTAAAGAGAAAATACTAGGAAGATTGAGATAATTTTTCTGTTTTTAATTGAAAGTTAGTAATCATGAATTAAAAAATGTATTCAGTTAACCAGAAACATCCTTTTGAAATCTGTCTGTGTGAAAGAGATAATGAGTTTTTTTTTGTAATATTTGTTTCATTTCTATAAAAAGTTGCCAAATGTATTTCTCAAGATTTTGTGTCTGTTTTTTTTTTATTTCAGGCTATGTCAGTGTAATATTTATGGCATACAACAATATTGAGAGCATGCTTAAATCACAGTCCATGCTAATTCAACATAGCCCATCTCAAGGTCAGCAAGAAGATTTAGTAAAGAAAGTGGAACAAGTTGTGAACAGTCACGTTATATCTGTGTCTTTTGGGAATGTTCAGTCTACATGGTTGCCTGAACCTATTATTCTAACATTTTCAAGTTTACATCGAAAAAATGCCACAGATCCTCGCTGTGTTTTCTGGGACTTTGAAACTAAGTATTACTGATTACATTTGTTTGTTTTTCTGTAATTACGTTAATTGAAAATTATTTTAACTTAATACAACTTCTATGTGGCTCTTTTACATTATATGATAAAACAAAATAAATCATCTTCATAGTATGTGTAAAGTAATTATGAATTTAAAGGTGTCTTCAGTTTCAATGATGAACAATATTTGATATTATGTTTTTAAGTTAATTATCGGTTTGAAATGAAACAATTTAGTTTATAGCTAAACATAACAGTGAATAATATCTTAGTTATCAAACCAAACATAAAAATGTTTTATTTTTGAAGTTCCTCCTATAATTAGGTTAAAAAGGACAAAAGTTATTTCTTTATTTAAAGGTATGAAAAATATTAGGAGAAATTTACTTTTATTATAAAAAGTTACTCTAGACTGAATTTCATAGCTCATAGGAATTTATTATTAAACTACAAATCTTTTGATTTCAAAGAATCCTCCCCAAAGCACTAAAAAACTGTTGATTGTGCTTATGAACACAGTAAAATTTGCAAAGAAAAAAATCCTGATAGTTTATTTCCAACAGTGACTGGTCTAGTCGAGGATGTGGTGTTATGTCCTTCAACGTGTCCCACATTGTGTGTTCCTGCAGGCATCTAACAAACTTTGCAGTTCTTATGACCATCAAACCATTTGAAGTAGGTTTTTATTCGGTTTTATTCTGAGGGTTATTACACCTTATAAGAATGATGTTCCAGGTACTGTGCTCCTCTTGGAACTACTTCCCTCACCTTTGAACTGTGCCAAATTTGAAAGGCATCATTACACATTATTTCCACATTTATGCAGACCAAAACTACAAAAGTCCATTGAAGCCATTTTTCTCATGAGAATTCATTGATTTCAAAATGTGGTTTGGAAGTCATAAATTTTGGTTCGTGAGCTTTTGTAAGTTTCAAACTATTATTTATTATTTTGTTAAGGGTACCATGAATAATGCCCAGCTTTTTTGAAATGGATTTTTTAGTCAGAAGATTTACTTTTGTAGTATAACAGTCACATAGGGTGTTGCTTTGTATTGGTTTGGGATGTAGTTTTGGAGCTTAATGCTGCCCTAGTGATCTTATGTGAAAGTTAATCTGCTTCCATAGAATACTGTTACGTCTCCGCCTGTTAATTAATTTTTCCGTAACTTCGTTCCAACG